AAATGTATGGAAGAGGGTAAGGTACCTAGGGATTGGCAGAGAGCATGCATAGTTCCTTTGTATAAAGGCAAAGGGGACAAAAGAGAGTGCAAAAATTATAGGGGGATAAGTCTGTTGAGTATACCTGGTAAAGTGTATGGTAGAGTTATTATTGAAAGAATTAAGAGTAAGATGGAGAATAGGATAGCAGATGAACAAGGAGGCTTTAGGAAGGGTAGGGGGTGTGTGGACCAGGTGTTTACAGTGAAACATATAAGTGAACAGTATTTAGATGAGGCTAAAGAGATCTTTGTGGCGTTTATGGATTTGGAAAAGGCGTATAACAGGGTGGATAGGGGGGCAATGTGGCAGATGTTGCAGGTGTATGGTGTAGGAGGTAGGTTACTGAAAGCAGTGAAGAGTTTTTATGAGGATAGTGAGGCTCAAGTTAGAGTATGTAGGAAAGAGGGAAATTATTTCCCAGTAAAAGTAGGCCTTAGACAAGGATGTGTGATGTCACCGTGGTTGTTTAATATATTTATAGATGGGGTTGTAAGAGAAGTACAGTGGACCCCGCATAGCGACTTTAATCCATGCAAGAGGGCTGATTGTTATGCGAAATGTTCGGTATGCGAATGAATTTTCCCCATAAGAAATAATGGAAATCAAATTAATCCGTGCAAGACACCCAAAAGTATGAAAAAAAAAATTTTACCACATGAAATATACATTTTCCTACACACAAAGAGAAGGATACATGCACAATAGTAGAGTAGTACATGCACAATATATATTGTGCATGTACTACTCTACTAAATGAAGAATAAATGACACTTACCTTTATTGAAGATGCAGCAATGACTGATGAGACACTGTGTCCTGGGAGTGCCTTTTCCTCCTGAGTACTGTAGGTCCTGTTTGGCATTTTCTTCCAGAACAGGCCTTATCACACTGTGTATGCCACTACGATTCTTAAATCTCTCAAACCAACCTTTGCTGGCTTTAAATTCACCAATATGAGCACTAGTTCCAGGCATTTTTCCCTGTTCACCTGGGTGTTAGTTGACTGGTGTGGGTTGCATCCTGGGAGACAAGATTAAGGACCCCAATGGAAATAAGTTAGACAGTCTTCGATGACACTGACTTTTTTGGGTTATCCTGGGTGGCAAATCCTCTGGGGTTAATTGTTTCTTGGTATTCTCAATAAGCCACACCAACAACGGTGCTACAGCAGCAGCAGCAGCTGACGGTGGTACAGCAGCAACAGACGATGCTACAGCAGCAACAGACGATGCTACAGCAGCAGCAGACGATGCTACAGCAGCAGCAGACGATGCTACAGCAGCAACAGACGATGCTACAGCAGCAGCAGATGATACTACAGCAGCAGCAGACGATGCTACAGCAGTAGCAGACGATGCTACAGCAGCAGCAGACGATGCTACAGCAGCAGCAGACGATGCTACAGCAGCAGCAGCAGCTGACGGTGGTACAACAGCAGCAGCAGCAGCTGACAGTGCAGCAGCAGCTGACGGTGGTACAGCAGCTGTACCACCAATAGTAGCAATGGTTGATTGGGGTTTATTATACAACCTGGCCAGCTCGGAGACACGCACTCCACTTTCATACTTATCAATGATCTTTTTCTTCATCTCTATAGTAATTCTCACCCTTATTGCTGTAAGGTTGGCACTAGAAGCTTTCTTGGGGCCCATGGTCACTTATTTTCCAGAAAAAAATCACCAAAAACACTGTAATAATACGAAATGTTCCGATTGTATGCTTGGATGTTACCGCGGAGGCTGGCTGGTAAACAATGCCACCGGCGGAACATGTGAGTGTGGCTCAGGCCGCACATTGGACGCGTCTCGGACGAAGGGCGGTGAGCGGGTTTTTGGGCGGTATGCGAGGCAAAATTTTTGCGAAAAAAGCGAGCGGTATGTGGATTGTACGGTATGCGATGCGTGCGGTATGCGGGGGTCCACTGTAAATGCGAGGGTCTTGGCAAGAGGCGTGGAGTTAAAAGATAAAGAATCAAACATAAAGTGGGAGTTGTCACAGTTGCTCTTTGCTGATGACACTGTGCTCTTGGGACATTCTGGAGAGAAGTTGCAGAGATTGGTGGATGAATTTGGTAGGGTGTGCAAAAGAAGAAAATTAAAAGTGAATACAGGAAAGAGTAAGGTTATGAGGATAACAAAAAGATTAGGTGATGAAAGATTGGATATCAGATTGGAAGGAGAGAGTATGGAGGAGGTGAATGTATTCAGATATTTGGGAGTGGATATGTCAGTGGATGGGTCTATGAAAGATGAGGTGAATCATAGAATTGATGAGGGGAAAAGGGTGAGTGGTGCACTTAGGAGTCTGTGGAGACAAAGAACTTTGTCCTTGGAGGCAAAGAGGGGAATGTATGAGAGTATAGTTTTACCAACGCTCTTATATGGGTGTGAAGCATGGGTGATGAATGTTGCAGCGAGGAGAAGGCTGGAGGCAGTGGAGATGTCATGTCTGAGGGCAATGTGTGGTGTGAATATAATGCAGAGAATTCGTAGTTTGGAAGTTAGGAGGAGGTGCGGGATTACCAAAACTGTTGTCCAGAGGGCTGAGGAAGGGTTGTTGAGGTGGTTCGGACATGTAGAGAGAATGGAGCGAAACAGAGTAACTTCAAGAGTGTATCAGTGTGTAGTGGAAGGAAGGCGGGGTGGGGGTCGGCCTAGGAAAGGTTGGAGGGAGGGGGTAAAGGAGGTTTTGTGTGCAAGGGGCTTGGACTTACAGCAGGCATGCGTGAGCGTGTTTGATAGGAGTGAATGGAGACAAATGGTTTTTAATACTTGACGTGCTGTTGGAGTGTGAGCAAAGTAACATTTATGAAGGGGTTCAGGGAAACCAGCAGGCCGGACTTGAGTCCTGGAGATGGGAAGTACAGTGCCTGTACTCTGAAGGAGGGGTGTTAATGTTGCAGTTTAAAAACTATAGTGTAAAGCACCCTTCTGACAAGACAGTGATTGAGTGAATGATGGTGAAAGTTTTTCTTTTTCGGGCCACCCTGCCTTGGTGGGAATCGGCCAGTGTGATAATAATAATAATAATAAAAATTATTATTATAATTATTAAAAGCACCAACCATTCCAAAACTATCCCCACCTGCTTTTAACACATCTTTCTAAATCCTATCAATCCCAGCTGCTTTACTCCCTTTCATTTTACCCACTGCCTCACACACCTCTTCCACACTCACATCTGGCTCTTCTTCACTCCTGTAAGATGTTATACCTCCCAGGCCAGTGCATGAAATCACAGCTCACCTATCTTCATCAATATTCAATAGTTCCTCAAAATATTCCCTTCATCTTCCCAATCCCTTTCATTCTACCCACTGCCTCACACACCTCTTCCACACTCACATCTGGCTCTTCTTCACTACTATAAAATGGCCAATCCATGAAATCACAACTTCCCTATCTTCATCAGCATTCAACAGTTCCTCAAAATATTAATCTTGCTAAAAAAAACTTTTTCTTATTCTCAGCAAGTGCTTTATTCTCAGCAATTTATATATAACCCAGATAGCAAGGTTTTGGCTCTCAATCTTTACTCCTAAAACTTCAGCTACATCATTTGTGGTGTTTAGTAACTTTCTGATATACAGGCCAACTCCTTTTCCCCTTGTTACCTGTTGTTTCTGTCGCATCTAAATAAGTTGTACTCTGGTATCCATATTTCATTGTCAAAATGGTCTTTTGTATGGGGCTTCTCTGAAAACTGCAAATATTGCATTTGACTTTTCAAGGAGTTTACTGACAAAATGTATTTTGTTGGTGGATGGAGTATTTTTCTTTTGTTGTTGTTGTTGTTGTTGTTGTGGTTCTGGAGTGGAGGCTACTGATTGTGCCTCCAGTTCAACAAGGCTCTAAGGTGGTGGATATTTTTGTCATTTCTTGCCATTTTTTTCAGCTTCCTGTTACTAAAAAATATCTCTTGTTATTGAATGGTTAGCTTCACAAAATTTGTGGGGGTCTGCACTTCCTTGTTCCTTTCAGATGATATGTAGAGCAGTTTGTATTGTAGCATTGCTTTTTGTCAACTGATGTATAACATAGTTCAGGTTTTTTCCTATTTCTAAATGTAATAAATTTTTTTAGTAAATGCTACTTGTGGAATTTAGATGAACAATGAATTAACCATAAAATCTTACTTCTTTCTAATTTTGAAAGCTTATTAATTTATTTTGTATTTGAACAATTACAGTGGTACCTCGGTACTCGAATCTAATTCGTTCCAGAAGGCTGTTCGAGTGCCGTTCTGTTTGAGTACCAAACAAATTTTTCCCAACCAATTTCTTTTTGATTGGCTGTTATCACTAATTTCCTTGGGCCCCCATTGTGGCTTATTTATACAAATAATATAAAAAAAAAATGCAAATAAACACGAAATACATAGTTTACAACGAGGTTCTGGCAGGTCGTGTTTGTTTGGTCGAGTGCCAAGCAAATGGTCAACTACCGAGGAATTTTTTTCACCAAACAAAGTATTCGAATATATTGTTCGAGTAGGGAGCTGTTCGAGTACTGAGGTTCCACTGTATATGTTAACTATTCCCAGTATAGGTCAACCATCAATAATCCTGCATCACTGGGACCTGTAGGGTGCCAGATTAGCAATTTTGCTGGATCACAGAGTGGTTAGGTTAAAATACACTAAACCCAACAGCTAACCACCTCATCCTACCTTTAAAATACCCCATAAATCAGTACAAGTTTGTTAATGAAGTTAACCAACTTGACTTGCACAAGAAAGTTCATCACTGCCACTTCCAAAGTGAAGAGTTGAAATTTACAACTAAGCACATTTACATTTCTTGAGGTGAAGGACTGTCAGGATTCCCATCTTCTTTGTCTTGGAAGAAATTTGAAATTACACTAGCCAAAATTAGTGTCGGATTAGTGATTGTCTTATCAGTGATGGCTGACCTATACTATAATTTCCTCATTTGTCATCCATACCTTGTTTTGTGGCAGGGTATGGTGAGTACTGAAGATTACTCTGGGGGTACAGTGTGTTGGTCAGCTCCTGAAGCCTTGCTTGGTGACACCATGACAGACAAGACTGATATGTTCTCTTTTGGTCTTGTTCTCTGGTGAGTAAATGTAATTAAATTTTTGGTCATAGGTGAGGAATATGTTACTGTCAACTATTTATCTTCAGTTTCTGTCCCACTGTTAGATGTTTCCCCGCCATTTAATATAATTTACTTGTGTGTATAACTCTACATATGCTTGTATGCAAAATAGCTACAGTAAAAAAAATAGTGAAATTCCAAGTGCTTTAGTGATTTCTCACATTACTATTCCTTGATAATGTGAAAAATCACAACAGCACTTAGAATTTCACTATTTATTCACTGTGGTTATTTTGATATTATGATATCATCTGTTCAGTGATCTTGTAACATGCTTGTATGTTTAAGGTTAGGTATAGTCAATGTAATACAAACTAAAAAGGTTTTTGGGTGTAAATATCCTCTGCTTCACTTCTCATCATTTTGAGTTGTGCTAGGATATGAAACTGTCCATGTAGATAACTACAGCAACACAAATAACACAACTGAAAGTAAGTATATTACTGATGGCAGCTCTGCTAGACCACAAGGTGAAGCAAACCATGGCTGAGTAACATTTAGAAATGATTGATAAAACCAAACAGACTGGCTGTTAGAAGTGAACTATAATATCAATTTAACAAAAAGTATGCTTATAAAAATATATTGATGGATGGCTGTGCTAAAATATGTAAGACTGAAACATATAAATATAGCACTTCTGATGCTATTATATACCCAAGTCATGGTAAACCTTAGGTCTTCAGCAGGTACTGTGAAAAAATTAAACAAAAATTTCTAGCCATTTTCCTAGCGATAACACAAACTGGAAAGAGTTCCAGCAGGGTCATCCTTGCCTTCTCTTCCCTTACCTAGGAGTCAGGATCGTTCCAAGTTAATGGTTCATTACATGGTGTCATTACATAAAAGAAAGTTCTCATTCAAGGGGTATCTCAATGAAAAATACCTGCAGGTAGATAACCAGTTTCATAGGCAATCTGTCCACAATTGGTGTCGATATACCTTTCATCCTGCATGTTTATGAGACAAAAAAGAAACCAGCAATCCTACCATCATGTAAAACAATTATAGGTTTTTGTTTCACATTCACTTGGCAGGATGGTAGTACCTCCCTGGGTGGTTGTTGCCTACCAGCCTACTACCAATGACGATATTGCAGACCTGGAGAGCGTACAAAGAACTTTCACGGCACACATAAGTACAATAAGGCACCTAAACTACTGGGAATGGTTGAAGGTCCTTGATCTGTATTCCCTCGAACACAGGCGAGAGAGATACATGATAATATACACTTGGAAGGTCCTGGAGGGATTGGTACCAAACCTCCACATGAAAATCACTCCCTATCAAAGCAGAAGACTCGGCAGGAGATGCAACATTTCCCCCGATGAAAAGCAGGGGCGCCACGAGTACACTTGAGAAACAACACAACAAGTGTCTGGGGCCCACAACTGTTCAGTTGCCTCCCAGCATACATAAGGGGAATTACCAATACAGAGTAGAAATGGGTAAGGAGAGGAGGAGTTTGAGGTAATCAGTCCCTCAGCCTGGAGTCAGTGTGTTCAGTCTATCAGTCTTGATGGACTGAATACATCGACTCCAGGCTGAGGGACTGATTACCTCAAACTCCTCCTCTCCTTACCCATTTCTACTTTGTATTGGACTGATGAAGCCACTGTGTGGTGAAATGTTTCCTCAATAAAGATTCCCATATGTTGCACAAGTGTCTCAATCTTCAAATGAACATTTAACATCGCACTTACCTTTATTGAAGACTCTTGTTGGTGTATGGAAGATGGGGAGGAGGGGAGAGGGAGGAAAAGTTACTATTGTTTGGAAGGGATATCCCCTTCCATAATGACTTCAGGTACCAAGTCCTTATCTGGGGTTACTTCCCTTCTTTGTTTTTACTGGCACTAGGACCAGCTTGAGTCACTTGACCCCTGTCACACAAAATTTTTTTCCAGAGAGCTCTGTTTCTGGCATCTCTTTGAGATTTGCCCAAAATGGGACAAGGCATTGTCATTGAACATGTTGCAGACATGGCCTGCAACAGCTTTGTTAGGGTGATGTTCCTTCACAAATGTTTGAACCTCACTCCACTTTGCACAAATGTCCTTAATCAATGAAGAAGGCACCTTCTTCCCTCTCTCTTCCTCCTCCTCTTCAGCAATTTCTTCAGCCGTGGTCTGTTGCTGTTCCAGATGAAGGTCTTGCAACTCTTCAGTGGTTATCTCATCACTGTGGTCCTCCACCAACTCTTCCACACCTTGGCCGCTCACATCCAACCCCATGGACTTCCCCAAAGCCACAGTAGATTTCACAACAGGCATAGGGTTGTCAGGTGTGTGTGGGGAAGTACCTGGCTTGTGTGTGGGGGGAAGTACCCTAGCTGGTGTGTGTGGGGAAGTACCCTAGCTGGTGTGTGTGGGGAAGTACCCTGGCTGGTGTATGTGGGGAAGTATCCTGGCTGGTGTGTATGGGGAAGTATCCTGGCTGGTGTGTTCTTTCTTGAATTCTATAATGTTTCTTGCCTTCTTTATCAAAGGGCTGGCACAAGGAGGTTTCTTTGGGCCCATGGTGGCTTATTTAGCAGTCATACGCAATAAACAAGTGCAAAAAACAGTGGATTACAGTAGGGCCCCACTTATACGGCAGGTTAGGTTCCAGGCTACTGCCGGAAAGCAGACATCACCAGAAAGTAGAACACCATTTTTTTCCACTTATAAATGTATATAAATGCCAGGTAACAAGTCATATTGCTAACATATATTATGTTAGCAATATAACTAGGCATTAAAAACAATAAAAAGTAAAATACACACACAGTACACCCATTACTTACCTTAAAATATTTGTAATCTTAATGTAGGGTGAGAGGTGAGTTTAACCCGTAAACGGTCCGAACGTATATATACGTTCGTACTGCTAGTGCCCCAAGTGTATATATGTTTTATTTTTCCCTGCCTTCAAATTTGGCACGATTGGCCTGAGATGCCTTGTCAGCATAGAATGGGTCTTAACACTTAGTGTGCACTGTATTAAAAAAATCTGGGACCACTTAGTACCTTGTGGGAGCACCAGTTCAAATGAGTGCCAGCTAGAGCAAACAGCACGACAAACACCTGGGATTCACTGATTTCATGTAGTATTAACTCTCACATTTTAAGAGAAAAGTGATGTTGACCCTGAGTTTAGTGGCTTTGAGGTGGATGTGGCCATAAGTGGTCAAGGAAATATCAAAAAACCTCAATAATAACCCATGTACAACATTTGTGCAACACCCTTCCAGAATGTCTTATAACTTATGCCCTAAGTAAAGAGAAACAATTATGGAATGTAATACTTGTTCCGCAGGCTAGCTGGCTGGCTGACTGGCTGATTGGCTGGCCAGCTGTGTGGCTGGCCGGCTGCTGGTGGCCTGGCTCTATCTCCGTTTGTCTGTATCTAAGTCTATCTCTGTCTCTGTCTTTGTCTCTGTCTATCTGTCTCTCTGTCTCTGTCTATCTCTGTGTAAATTACTTAGGATAACCCAAAAAATCCAGACAAAGTGGTATACTCTGCTTGAAGATATGAGTAAACATGATGATGTGATGACACAGTCTTGTGGCTCTCTCTGAGACAGAGAACTAGACAGACAGGGAGCTTGACAGACAGACATGTTTGTGTACCAGCAAAAACAAAGCGAGGGCCGACGTTCATCAAATGCCACCTCTTATCTTATGTTATCTCATCTTATCACTTTACTGTCAGGGGTGGACTGAGGCTTGTTTTACATGCTTCCAGGGAACGTATTATCATAATTATTATTATTATTATTTTTCCTCCTCCTCCTCCTCCTTTTCCTCCTCCTTTTCCTCCTCCTTTTCCTCCTCCTTTTCCTCCTCCTTTTCCTCCTCCTTTTCCTCCTCCTTTTCCTCCTCCTTTTCCTCCTCCTTTCCCTCCTCCTTTTCCTCCTCCTTTTCTCCTCCTTTTCCTCCTCCTTTTCCTCCTCCTTTTCCTCCTCCTTTTCCTCCTCCTTTTCCTCCTCCTTTTCCTCCTCCTTTTCCTCCTCCTTTTCCTCCTCCTTTTCCTCCTCCTTTTCCTCCTCCTTTTCCTCCTCCTTTTCCTCCTCCTTTTCCTCCTCCTCCTCCTCCTCCTCCTCTTCCTCCTCCTCCTCCACTCCCATGTGTCCAAAACATTGCTGGGACATATAAATACTTTGTATATATTCCAAGACAATAGTAAATGACCAAGGCAAGTGTAAATGTCTACCTGTCAGTGTGTTTGTGACAATTTGAGTACAATTTCAGTACCTAATACTAGTGTCAGAACAAAGATTGGTTATGAAATGACAAGAACTATTATAAATTGTAATCATCAGAACATAAAAGTTATATAAAATAATATGAAAAAGAGAAAAAAAGGTATATCGGCAACACTTCTGCAAGCAGCAGGACTCAAGATTGCCGTCAGGTGAGCATCCAGTGCCAACTTCTCGGCCTCATATCTCTGTAATTACTGACCCTAATTTTTTTTTATCCAATAATACTTAGAAAAATGTGCCCTTTATTTCCATAGAAAATTTTTTTTTTTTTTATTTTTCCAAATATTAGGAGCACTGGGGTAGTGAATGTATATACAGTGGACCCTCAACCAACGCCATTAATCCGTTCCAGAGAGCTTGTCGTTAGTGGAATTAATTTTCCCCATAAGAAATAATGGAAATAGAATTAATCCGTTCCTGACACCCCAAAGTATGAAAAAAAAAAAAATTAAATGAAATATACATTTTTCTACACCAAAATGAATGGGACATGCAAAATAAACAATAATTAAATGCCACTTGCCTTTATTGTGGAGTTGTTGATGAGTGATAAGATGGTAGGAGGGAAGATGGTGAGGTGTTTTGTTGTTTGGAAGGGGAATCCCCTTCCATAAACTGTACTTAAGGCACCATGTCCTTTGGTGGGGTTACCTCCCTTCTTGGTTTTTAATGCCACTAGGATCAGCTTGAGAGTCACTGGGCCCCTATCACA